GGGGGGGGCTGATGGTATTATTGGGGTCTGTGGGGGCTCCATAGGGTTAATTTGGGTCTCTGGCTATTGGGGTCCTCGGGGGGTTGGGGCTCTCCACTATTTGAAGGTTATTGGGGGGTCGTGTGGGTATTGGTTCCCTGCGAGAGGATGGATATTGGGGTCCCTGGGGAGGGGAGCGAATCCACTGTGGTAATTAGGGTTACTGGGGGGAGGGATCCTTACAGCTGTGGGGTCCCTGGGCGGTCCTCTGGGGATGCTGGGTTTGGGGGGCAGGGGGCTGTTTTGGGGCTTTTTTTGGGGGGTGTCCCTGGGGGTTCTGGGGCACTGTGGCACTTTGTTCCCCCTTCATCTCCTCCAGGAAGGACCCCCCCAGCCCCGAGCTGCTCTCAGCCCTGCAGGAGCTGCTGCGCATGGCGGGGGCGGCCGCGGGGGGGCTGCCCCTGCTGGACCCAGTGGGAGCCCTGCAGCTGCGGGACCCCCCTGCTGTGGAGGCAGCTGCCCGTGCCCGAAGCCTGGGGGCGGCCCTGGGGGGCTTTCGCTGTGTGCACGGCCCCCGCTTTCCCCAGCTGGTACGGAGTGAGGGGGACGGGTCATTTTGGAGCTCTTCTGTGGGATCATTCTGGTGTCTTTTGGGGTTGTTTGCGGCGCTTTTGGGCTGGTGTTTGGAATCCTTCGATGTCATCTTGGGGTCATTTGGGGTGTTTTGTGCTATTTGGGGACGGATTTGGGTCACTTTGGGGCCATCTCGGGGCTGTTTGGGGGATCGTTTGGGGTCATTTCTGTGCGATTTGATCAATTCTGGGGTCGTCTGGGTCTCTGGGTTCACCTGACCCTGCTTGTGTCCATTTTGGGGCTGTGTTCTCCTTTATTTGTTGCCATTTCCTCCACCTTGGCTGTGTCCCGCAGTACTCGCAGTTCGCTGCGCGGCGCCGGCTGCAGGCACAGGTGGAGCAGCTCCAGTACCAGCTGTCGGACCGCTCCCTGCTGCTGCTGCCCGAGTACCGGCAGCGCCTGGGCGTGAGTGTCCCTCGCGTCCCTCCGGGTTGACCTGGTGGCTCTTTTCGCCCATAGCGTTACGTGGGTCCACCCGTGCGCTCGGTGGGTTCGCCTGTTGCCGCCGCGGGGTCTCTGCGGGGCTGAGCCCCAATTTCTGCCCGCAGGTGCTGCAGGCTCTGGGCTACGTGGCCGACGGCGGTGCGGTGCAGCTCCCCGGACGCGTGGCGGCGCTGCTGAGCTGCCACGAGCTGCTGCTGACCGAGCTGCTGCTGGGCAACGTGCTGAGCCCGCTGCGCCCCGAGGAGGTGGCCGCGCTGCTGTCCTGCACCGTGCATCCGGGCCGGGGCGAGCCGCCCCCAAAACTGCCTCCCAACCTGCAGCGGGTATGGGCTCTGGGGGGGCTGGGGGCTCCGCGGGGCTGCTGGAGGCTGAGCGGAGCTCCGTGGGGCTGCGTCCGCAGGGCATGGAGCAGATCCGCGCCGTGGCCGAGCGCGTGGGGCGGCTGCAGGAGGAGTGGGGGCTGCCCCAGAGCGCCGAGGACTACGTGGGGCAGTTCGGCTTCGGGCTGGCCGAGGTGGTGTACGAGTGGGCGCGCGGCATGGTGAGCCTCCCCAACCCACCCTACTCCCACAGACGCCCCCGGCGTTCCCCAGAGCCCCGTGAACCCCCCCGACCCACACAGCCCCCCGTTCCCTTCTGGACTCTCCGTTCCCCAGAGGCAGCCCCCGATCCCCCCATTCCCCTTTGGGATCCCTCCATTCCCCACGGCCTCCGGACCGTCACGGTCGCTCCGTTTCGCTCTGGGGCCTCGTTCCCCCCTTCCCCCTCTCATCTCCCGTTTTCCCCCCGTTTCCCCCGCAGCCCTTCGCCGCTCTGGCCGCCCTGGCTCCGCTGCAGGAGGGCGCGGTGGTTCGCTGCATTCAGCGCCTGGAGGAGCTGTGCCGGGAGCTGCGCCGCGCCGCGCGCATGTTGGGCGACCCGGGGCTGGCGGCCACCATGGAGGCGGCGAGCGGCTGCATCAAACGGGACATCGTCTTCGCCGCGAGTCTCTACATTCAATAAAGGCCGCGGGATCCGCCGCGAGGCAGCGCTGCGCTCCGTCCTTCCCCGCGCGGCGCTCGGGCAACGGCGGGGGTGGGGACGGCGCTGACGGCCCGTGGCTGAGCGACGCCGCGGCCGACGGGGGCGGGGCGGGGAGGCTCCCGATGCTGTGAGCGCCGCGCCCGCCGATCGAACTCGGCGGCGGTGACCGCAGTGAGCCGTGCCGCCCTCCGCGCGGTTCCGGCGGCGCGTTGCCGAGCAACCGTGGGACGGGTGGTGCCGCGCCGGCGCGCCGCATCGTGACGTCATCAGAGCGCGCCCGGCGAGGAGAGGGAGGGGAGGGGGGAGGCGCGCCGTGCGGGCCGGGACCTCTCCCCGCGGCGCGGTGAGTGCGGGCGGACGTCGCCGCGTCGCGAGGGCGCCGCGCTGCGGGTCGGAGGGGCGGCGGGAGGACCGGAGGGACGCCGCGGGCATCGGGGCGGCGCGGCCCGGCCCGGAGAGGCAGAGACTGGGGGAGGGAGGGGCGGCGCGGCGGCGGCCGCCTGCGGTAGGGCGCCCCCTGGCGGCTCGGCGGCGGGCCGTGACATGTGGCCGTGCTGGCTGTGCCCGCAGGTGCCGGGCGCCATGGCCCCCCCCCAAGGACATCATGACCAACTCGCACGCCAAGTCCATCCTCAACGCCATGAACGCGCTGCGGAAGAGCAACACGCTGTGCGACGTCACTCTGCGCGTGGAGCACAAGGACTTCCCGGCCCACCGCATCGTGCTGGCCGCCTGCAGCGACTATTTCTGCGCCATGTTCACCAGCGAGGTCGGTGCGGGGCGGCGGGCGCGGCCCGGGCTGCTCCCCGTGCCGTGCGGGCGTCGGGCCGGGGTCCTCCGGAGCCGTCCGGGAGGTGGGCTGGGCCCCGGGGGTCCGTGCGGACGGCGGGCCGGGTCCTCCGGATCCCTTTGGGTGGCGGCTGTGGGTCCCCCGGATCCCTTTTGATGTCGGCATGGATCCCGGCTATGGATCCCCCTGGGCGATGGCTTCAGATCCTCCGGATCGCTCTGAACGGTGGGCCGGGATCCTTCTGGATCCCTTTGGACGGTGGCTCTGGGTCTGCTGCATCCCTTTGGGTGGTGGATGCGGATCCTTCTGGATCCTTTTGGAAATGGGCTGGGATCCCTCTGGGTCCCGCTGGGATGTGGCTCTGGATCCCCCTGAGCAGTGGCTCTGCCTGTATCTCTGCGTTCCTTCAGGACAGAGCAGAGCTGCTCCCTCCGTGCAGTGCTGAGGGCTGTCGGTGGGAGCTGCAGCAGAGCCCCTCTGTGCTGTATTGCAGCTGCACCATTTCTGCCTTTGGATGAGTTCACGGATCACAGGGTGTGCTAAGAGCTCCTCATTGGCTCCACCTGAGAAAGAAACCTCTCTGTCTTCTCTTAGAGCGAGGTCTGAGGTCTTTGGGCTTTGTGTTCCTTCCTGTTTTCCCTGGACCATGCAGAACTATTCTTCTAATTGTGAAAATTAGCAACTTCTGGTCACGTTCAGATTCATACCGGGCCCACGGAGGGATTGGAACCGAGTGGTCCTTAAGGTCCTGTCTGACCCGAGCCCATGGTCTGTGCCGTGAGCGTCCCTCAGAGCAGCACGGTCACACCAGCATTCCCTGTTCGCAGGGAGCTGAAGGGGTTTATTGCAGCACGCTGTGTGCATCTGCGGCAGCGAGGACAAAGTCAAGAAGTGGGCTTGGATAAGAAAGTGGAACGAGGTGCAGTTCTGAAATGCTGGGTTGAACCCTGGGAACGGCCACACTCCTGCACAGCAAGTCCTGTGATTTGGGGGTGGATTGGGGGATGGCAGTGCTGTGTGCCACAGCCGCCTCGGGCATCCGGGGTGAAGCATGCGGTGTCTGCAAAGTCATTTCCTATGGAATGGAGCTGCCCTGGGTGCTCTGATGGCTTTCTGACGCTGTTGTGCTGCATGGGATGCACTAGGAATGCGTTTGGAATGCAGCTCTGTAATACGGCCTGTGTGCTCTGGAGCTCAGAGTCCTGGTGGGACGTTCTGTGTCACAGTCAGCTCTGGGGTCTTTAAGGTATGGTGCTGGGATCCCGTGTTCTTCTGCCTCACATACAATACATGAAGTAATTGGAAAGGCTGCTGGTCGCAAAGACCCAGTAACTCCTGTCCTCTTATTTCTAAGCACGCAGACAGGACAGGAACAGCCTCCATCTGCATTGCGTGTTGCAGTCATGCAAACATCCGGTCCGGTCACTTCTGGGCTCTGGTGACACCGGATGGCTCAGTTCTGTTTTGGAAGCACTTTGTCTGAGCCGGGCTCTCATGCATCACAGGCACCTGCGGCTCTGTGGGCCCAGCAGGGCAGTCTGTCCTTCCGTGAGGTTCTGCGGGTGCTGATCGCGGTCCCCGCAGTGCAGGAGTGGCTCAATCTCAGCGGTGACCTCTGCTCTGCTTCTGTGTCACCAAATGCCTCTGTGGGAGTTTCTGTGTCCGCTCTGATCCCCCCTCCCATCCCCTGCGGTGGCACTTCCAAAGCGAAGCGGTGATGCTTTGATCACACATTCTCCTCGCTCAGTGTGCCTGCAACAACTTCACGCTCATTCTTGGCAAGAAAAGTGAGGAGCTTTCATGTGAGCTGTGCTTGCACTGATGCACAAAGGGATCGGCTTTGCACTGTGCTGCGTAGAGACGTCCTGCTGCCGGGCTGCTGATGAGCTCCCACGGGGTGCTGTGCCTGCAGCTGCTGCTTGGTGGGGTGTCAGCTCTGCACAGAGGGGTTCTCACACAGTGGATGCTTGCAGTCCACCGTTCCACAGGTTGGCTCGGGGCAGGGGTCCTCAGAGAAAGCAATTGTTCTGAAGTGACGCTGTAGAGCTGACGGAACAGCAAGGGGATGAAGTCAGCACTGCTTAAATGCCATCACTGCATGCACTCCGATTTTAGTTTCTAATATTGAAGTTAAAATCCCGTTTAACTCTGAATTTCATGGGCTGCAGATAGTCGTCCTTTTTGGGGACTTTAACCATGAGCTGATAGGGTGGATGGGGGGAATGGTTGGGAAGCTTTCTGTGCGGGTTGGGGCGTAGAGCAGAGGAGTGAGAGCCCCGAATGCTGCGCTTGGCCCCACGTGCGCAGCCCAGGAAGGATCCCTGGATCCCCTCCTCCAGCACAGCTCGGGGTCCCTGCATGGCACAGTGGGCAGCACACAGGAATGATGTGCAGCCTTTGGCTCGGGTGCAGTTTGTGCATTCTGCAGCACGGTTGGAACATCTTCCCCACATGTAACAGACTCTGCTTTGCTCTGCCGCTCATCTGTCCGTGTGTTCTCCAGGGGGATTTTCTCCTCCCTCTTCTTTTGGTGAGCACAAGGACAGAAAAGATGGAGTTCTGTTGGAATCTCACTTTTTTAGCACCTGCTGAGCACTGGTGTCTTTTTGACCAGATGATTGAAAAATGAACTCTGTCTCCTCTCTGATTTACAGCTCTCAGAGAAAGACAAACCCTACGTGGACATCCAGGGGCTGACGGCTTCCACCATGGAAATCCTGCTGGATTTTGTGTACACAGAAACCGTTCACGTGACGGTAGAGAACGTCCAGGAGCTGCTCCCAGCAGCGTGCCTGCTGCAGCTGAAAGGTAATGCTGAGTGCTGGGCGGGCTGCAGGTGTCTGTGGTTTGAGGTTTGCTGTTCCTCCCATGGCTGCGATGCCTCTGCGCTGTGCTCAGCCCGGGCCTTGGAGCCATTCACCTTGTGCCAGACTTCTCTGCTTTGCACGCTGCTCTCGGTGTAGCAGAGGTGACCCTTCTAGAGAAAGAGTGGGATGGATTCTTTTCTCCACGCTTTGTGCTGCTGTCACTTATTACTGCCTGCTGACAGTAAGAGCAGAGCCCCGCCGCCGCCTGGCTTTGCCAGTGATTAGCTGCTCACAGCTGGGCAAAGCCACAGCACTTCTGCTTTAGGAGTTCTGCTCACAGTTACCAGTATCGGATTCAACCTGGGGGAGGAGGGGGTTCAGCACAGCAGGCACAAACAGCCCAAGCAGTTCTCCTGCTGCTCGGCATTGCTGTGCCCCTCAGCAGAGCCGTTTGCATGCGTGTCCGTGTGGTGCTGTTCCACTGTTGTTCAGTCGGTCTGTCCTGACTGTTTCCAGCTTCCCTGTACTGAAGCCCTTTCCCAAGCAGAGGATGGCAGGATGTGTTCAGTGCTCATTCACCCCTCTGATTTTCCGTAGGTGTGAAACAAGCTTGCTGTGAGTTTCTAGAAAGCCAGCTGGATCCATCAAATTGTTTGGGCATTCGGGATTTTGCTGAGACACACAATTGTGTTGATCTAATGCAAGCTGCAGAGGTCTTCAGCCAGAAACATTTTCCAGAGGTGGTTCAGCACGAAGAGTTTATCCTCTTAAATCAAGAAGAGGTTGAAAAGCTCATCAAGTGTGATGAAATTCAGGTAAAACCTGAACGTAGTGTTACTCTGCAAAGATGCAAAGTGTTGAAAGCAGTCGGAAATCGGCCCGCAGTGCTCAGAGAGCCTCACCGTCCCTCCCGAGCTGGGAGTTCGCTTTGCAGGAAGGTTCTCCCCTTTCCTTTGGCCCCATAACCTCACATGCGGCCCTTCTGCTCGCACAGGGCGCAGTGCTGCTGCCAGGCGCTGCTCCAGGCGGTTACACAAAGGTGTTTTTGCCCCCGAGTTTTGGTGCAGACTTTGATCCCTCACAGTTGGTTTCTGGAGGTGTTACGGCACGGCTGGCAACTGTCAGATTTTTTTTTCCAAGTCTTCTATGAGCGTGTATTTTGTTGAGAACTGACATAAGGTGAACATTCCCTGAGAATAGGAAGGGGACTGATCTGTTCTGTTATTGCTGGACTCCGACAAGAGGTGGTGTTTGCTTCAGCCCTAAAGAAGTGATCGAGTCGTTATTCAGAGCTCACAGCTCCTTGGAGCAGGCCGTCATCGGAATCTCCCGAGTTCCTCAGAGCCCTGCAAAGGGCTGAGCAGAGGAGAGACGTGGATGTGTGCTCTGAAAGGCTGCAG